CATTGTGGGTGGAATTTGAAGCATGTGATGAATTGAGAGTATTTATGGTCACCATAAAGTTCAAACAAGCTTGCTTGAATAACTCAACTATCACATTAAAAGTCTGACATATAATGGCACATAGAATTTTTCAGACATAAATACTATTTACTTTTATCTCCACTGTCCTTTTATATACAATATCCAGAACTTAATCAACAATCACAAGACCCATAAAAAAGCAACAAAAACTAAGACCCCTTGTCAAGAGATAAAACAACTAAATTCAGAGATAGCCCAAATGTTGTAACTATTTATTAGACTGGAACTTTAAAATACCTAGAATTAATATTAAAGAATCTAGTGGAAAAGATGGGCAGTATATACAATGTCAGCAAAGAGATTAAACTACAAAAATTGTTAAATGTAATCACTAGATATAAAAAAACCATGATAATGGAAATGAAGAATTTCTTTAATGAGCTTAAAAACAGATTGAACACAGCTGTGAAAGGTATAATTGAACTTGAAGATAAGTTGATAGAAATGATACAAAATAAAATGCAGAGATAAAAGAGTGAAAAAAAGAGACAAGATCATCCAAGTATTCAAGTATAATATCAAATAGTCTAACATACATGTTAATTGAGTTTTAGAATAAGAAAGAAAACATTGCGCAATAGAAACATTTGAAGAGATAATAAAGTGTTTTCCAAAAGTAACAAAAAGACAACAAAATGACAGATACAGTAACCCAAAGCAGAATAAATGAAATACACACATATACACACACACCTAGAAACATCATAGTCAATGACTGAAAACCAAAAATAAAGAAGAGAAAAGGAGAAACATCTGTAACAAAAATAAATTAATGAATGAAAAAAATAAAGAAAAAGATCTTTAAATCAGAAAAAAAAAGAAAAAGGGCATACAGAGGAAGAAAGAGAATGGAGAAACATTTTCAAGTGCTAAAGAAAAACATTTCCAATTCAAATTCTATACCCAGCACTATCTTTCAAAGATAATGGTGAGGTAGGCCCTGGCCAGATAGCTGAGTTGGTTAGAGCACTGTGCCAATATGCTAAAGTTGTGGGTTCGATCCCCAGTCGGAGCATATATAAGAATCAATCAATGAATATATAAATAAGTAGAACAACAAATCAATGCTTCTCTCCCTCTCTCCCATGCTCTTTCTCTGTAAAATCAATAAATAAAAATTAAAAAAAAAATAAAGGTGAGGTAAAGATTTTTTCCAGATAAATAGAAACTAAGAAAATTTATTGCAAAGAGTCTTGCACTACAAGAAATGTTACAGGAAGTTCTTCAGGTAGAATAAAAATTATACCAGATGGAAGGTTGGATATACATAAAAAAATAAAAGGTAAAAAAATTGGAGATCTACATAAAGAAGTAAAGGGTTAAAAAAAGTGAAGGATTTAAAAAAGGGTAAAAATAAGAACAAGTATAAAAGACATTTCTTCTTAATTTTAATAAATTTCAAAGATAATTGTCTAGAACAGGTATAAACAAACTTGTTTCTTAACGGCCTACATAGCAAATATTTTGACTTGAGGGGAATAAAGTCTGTTGTAACTACACAACTCTGCTGTGGTAGCATGAAAGCAGATATAGACAATACATAAAGGATGAGTGGGCTGTAATCTGATAAACGTTTATTTATAAAAACAGGTGCCTGGCTCACAGGCCATAGTTTGCTAACACTTAGTCTAAAGCAAAATTACTTACAATGTGGAATGGAGTTATAACTCACATAGAAGTAAAACATATAAAGAATTCAAGTGTGAAGAACAAAAGGAGGAAAGGGAAGCATACTGTTGTAAGATTCTCGTACTACTACACTAGAAGTGGTGTATTATTATTTAAAAATAAACTGTGACAAGTTAAAAGTGTATATTATAAACCCTAAAATAACCACCGATTAAAAAAATTACAGCTTTTAAACCAATAATATAACTAAAATGGAATGATAAGAAATACTTAAATAATCAAACAGAAGACAGAGAAGGAAAAGGGAACAAAAAGCAGATGAGACAAGTAACTGGCAAGTTTATAGATTTAAATTCAACTACATCAATAATGACATTATATAAATTGTCTAAATAACCCAATTAAAGACAGAGACTGTGAAACTGTATATTAAAGCAAGACTCAATTATATACTGCCTACAAGAAAACCACTTTATATATAGTCATAGATAAGTTAAAAGTAAAATGAAGGAACAAGCTATATCATTCTAACTCTAATCAAAAGAAAAGTCACAGTGCCTGTGTTAATATCAGAGAATATAGACATCAAAGCAAGAAATATTACTGAAGAAAATTACAGCATGTCTTTAAAGAAAACTTGAACAATACAGTGACATTTCTGTGAAGAAAAAATGCAACAACACAACCAAAAAACAAAATTCTATAATTTTTTGGTCCATCTATATGTACATAATATGCATGCAACCTGATCTGGTAATAAGTTACCTTTATGAAGGGATGTGAATTTGGTAATAAAGGGAAAGTTGAATTTTTTCAGATGAAATCCAAATAAAACCAAAGGTTAGTAAATAGTTGTTACCAATGTTAATTTCTTATTTTTGACAAATAAACTATGGTTGTGTAAGACATTAGCATTAGGAAAAGTGGGTAATGGGTTTATGAAAACTTTCTTTACTATCTTTGCAACTATCTCACAAATAAAAATCCTTCCAAACTAAAAACGTTATTTAAAAAAGGATGAGCCAATCCAGTCATGAGATATTTAATGGAATTAAAAAAAAATAAGCGTGATATGAGAGGACTATTACAATATGGAATTATGTTTTTAGTTATTGAAAAACCTTTATCAACCAAAATGACAAAACAACTTTTTGGAAAGCTTATAAGTCAAGGAATTAAAATTACAATAGTAATCAACAACACATCAACTGTCTCTCTTAAAAGTTTAAAAATATACTTAAAATGTGAAAATTGAGGCTTTAAGACTTAGTTCCATAAACAATATTTTTAATATTAAGAAAAATTCTTTGCTTTCTGAGACTTAAGTAATCTAGTTAATGTAAAGCCAGTGGAGGAGTTTGATAAAAATTTTTAATGTCAAAACACTGCTCAGTTGAAGTTGTTATTTAGCTAGCGAGAGCCATGTCAAACAAACAAGCAAAAACACAAGAAACAATTTAGCAAAAACACAACACTAATTTTTGAAAACCAATAAGTGATGTGGAAATGATTAGAATGACTTGGTAAGCAATTTGTGCTACATATCATGTTACTTGATTAATAATAGTTTTACCATAAATATGATTACATTTGAAAATAAGAGGGATTATATTTTTAATTGTTATTTATAACATATGCTAGTGCTGGTTTCTAAGTATTTTGAATATTAACTCTGTTTACTACCATTATGTTCATTTATTTCTAGGACAGTGGAAATAGAATTTCTAACCCTCATTATGTGACACTTTTGTCACCAGAACTCAAGAATTACAAAAATATTCTGATAATAAAACTGATGAAAAAAATGTAATAAATCCATATTAGATAACAATTTTAACAAGGAAGATTACCATGAAATAAGATAGTTGAGTAGGAAAATCAACCTCCACATTTGGAAATGTGGGATTAGAAGGCAGCTCTTCAGTAAGCATGGCAAAGCAGGAGAAACTCTGCTACAACACCAAAGGCAGGATGCATAAGGAAATAATGATGATATTGTGATGAAACCAATTCAAATCTCTTTGGCTATAGTTTTGTTACCAAACACTTCAGATCTTCAGGATCAGGCCTTAGAAACGGCTCTGGAAAATGCCAAGATAACAAAGCAAACCAAAAATATTAGTATAATACAATGAAGATTTTTTTTTTTTTTTTTTTTTTTTTACAGCAAGAACCAGATTCCAAGCACACAATTAAACAATGAAAATCAAGAAAAATACTAAAAAAGTTTATAACTACTATGCTGTGAATTGCTAGTCGTTTTGAATGGAAAGAAAGATGTCCTGGAGATATGTAAAGAACATCTTCTTTATACAAACCCTAGAATAATAATTTCTATTTTTGTAGTAACTCAGTGGATTCTTAGGGAATTAAGTATTTCCACTTTTTCTAATAAAGGGAAGTGATGCTGTGAGAAATTAGCAACTTGTACAAGACAACACAGCTAATAGATACAGAGACCTGGGTTTGAAGCCAACTTAGTGTGGCTCAAGACCTCGTTTTCTTTCCTCTACTCAATATTTTCAAATTGGCTTCTTGATACGCTCAGTTAGACAGCTTCTAAAACATGCTACTAGTCATGCCTTACCTCAGCTTTCTAATTAAGTTGGTCTGGGAGGGGAGCCCTTTCTTGGTTTTGTTTTTGTGTCTTAAAGTCCTTCAGATGTTGATCCTGTACAGCCATGGTGAGAAGCACTGCTCCAAGTGGTCTGACTCTCAGAACCCACGAAGTGTCAAAGAAAAGGTGGCAGTAATAGCATGGGCGGGCAGTATTCACATTTGGACATATGTGATGGAAGAATCAATAAAATAACTCATTTTGATCAATATGAATACCTATATTGAGTTGAAGAATTTTCTTCATTTGGAGCTCATGTATTCAGTTAATCAGAGAAGTTTCTTTGGTGTGTGTGTCAGTAACAATGGGGTTATAGCTTAAGAAACAGAAAGTTTAATCATTGGACTCCAATAGCTTCTTTGCCCTAATAGGATGATAATGATTAAGGGCTAATCTAACACCTGTTGTGGATTTTTTTTTAATCTTTATTACAGATGACACACAATTTTCCCTCCATTGCCCCCCTCCTCCTGGTTCTAGCCTCACCCCAAGCCTTCACTACCCTATTGTCGGTGGAAATTCTTTGGTTAATCTCTTCCTGTCCCCTTCCCCCCCATCTGAGATTCATCAGTCTGTCCCATATATCCATGCCTCTCTTTCTATTTTGTTCATCAGTTTATTTTGTTCATTAGGTTCCACATATAAGTGAGATCATCTGATACTTGTCTGTCTCAAAAATACGGAATGCCTCATGAATTTGCGTATCATCCTTACGCAGGGGCCACGCTAGTCCTCCCTGTATTTTTCCAATTTTAATATATGTGCTGCCAAAGCAAGCACTGTTATGGGTTTTTCATCAGAGATTGTCAATGAATACCATTAAGTCCACTCCTAGAACAGGTCTTCTTGTGAAATACTCAGTTCAGATAAGAATTTGACCCTTATACTAGTATATAGTAACATGTAGGTACTATTTGCCTAGAACTTACTCAATGGCAGACTGTATTAAGAATTTTAGAAATTATTTATTGTTCTTTCAACATCCCTATGAAATAGCAGTATTACTTTTATTTTACAGATGAGGAACTTGAGTTGCAGGAGTTTGCACAAGTTGCTCAAAGTCTCACTTGCTAGAAGGTGGAGCCAAGATTCAAACCCAGGTCAGTCGGACTTGAAAGCCAGTGTTTTTAATCCTAATTTTATACTGGTGAAAATCAAGCATGATATGAGAAAAATAATAATCCCTCACTGAAGTTTAAGATGGGTGAGCATGTATCTGGCATCCCATCGGCCTGCAACAGCTCCATCTACTGCAAGAGCTAAACCTTCCATCTCTAAGAGAATTTGCCTAGAAGGTAAGGTCGGGAATCACTCTGCTGTCCAAGGCGAGACTTCCTGGTCCACTGCTCCCTGGATCCCAGCATCCCCCCCCCCCCCACAGGTCCCTGGAATGCTGGGTGAGGTTGCCTACCTGAGCATGAGCAAAGAGACAGGCAGAAGCTCCATCTGTACTCTTCCTCCCTGCTCTGCTGCCCACCCTCACCAGCTCTACTGTCTTGCATGTTGGTATCAAGACAGGTCTCACCAAGGGTAACTATAGCCCGCAGGCACTGGGATTCATGTTTCTCAGGGGGCATCTAACCCTACTCTTCTTAACTCTGACAAGCCCAGCTAACCCTTTCTCCCACAGGTCTATGAGAAAATCCCAGCTTGCTTAGGGTTGGCAGATAAAATAGAAGTGCCCAGTTAAATTTGAATTTCACATAAACCAGAATGATGTTTTAGCCCAACTATTGCATGGGACATACTAAAAATTATTTGTATTCACCTGAAACTCTCATTTCAACTGGATGTCCTGGATTTTCATTTGCTTATCTGGCAACCTTCGCATACTTAGTCACCAAGATTAGGCAAGTCTGAGCATCAGTGTGCGAAGAGGAAATATCCAAACCCTTATCACAGCAGAATACATACAGTGAAGACTCTAACAGAAAACTTCAAAAGAATGTTCTTGTTTCAGTGTCAAACTTTTATAAGCATCAGTGAAAATTAGCTTAATTATCTTGAGGTGATAAAACATGCCACAATCCGCCTCTCTCCTTTATACCTTGATGACACTCAGAGTCAATTGCTTTACTGTATCAAAAATGAGTTTCTTGTGCTTTTCTAACTGCAACCTCCAATGAGTCTTTTTTTTTCTTTTCTTTTCTTTTTTAAACCCCACAATGCCTCGACTAGAGGGTAAAGAAGAAAAGTCCCTGACAGTGTCATTATTAAAATATAATATTTATGATAGTGTAAAATAATAGTAGCAAAAAGTGTTGTCCTGAAATGCCAGTAGATTTTACAACACTTTACTAAATCTTGCAACACTCCTTTGAAGGAATTACTACACTATGGATTTTCTAGATAAAAAATGTAAGTGTAGATAATTACCTTCTTTGCCAAAACAAGAAATTTGGGCTACCGTATATTAGCACCACTATAACCCCCTGGTCCCAGCTACTTCACTCATGGCCCCCAGCTTATAAATTCTGGTCCAATTACCTAGAGTTACTAAATAGCTAAAGGAACCAAAAAACAAAAGCTGAAGGAAATTCTGGCAAGTTCGTTTAGAAACATGTCAAGGAATACCACTACTCTTTAGTAACTCATCAAGTTCCCAGGGAGAGGAGGGCGTGTGAAAAGAGCCGATTCAGCACTTCTCAAAGCTCAGATAGAATGTGTGCCTTGCCCTCAAGTGACTCATGAAAAGTAAAATTAAATCTGATATATGTAAACTAGCTCTGGTTGTTCAGGCTGGATACACTGGGACTTGCTTTTCCTGACACTGTATTTCTCCATCTATTACAGTGCTGCTAATGTACACATATTCAATACGTGAGGTGCTTCCTAAATGTCATTCAAGCTCGCCTGTTTGCCTTCATGGGTTATATGACGTTAATTAGTCTGCAAACCGTCCATCTCTGAGCTCGTTAAAGACTTGCGTAAACTCTGAGTGTGAGGCTGCAGCCACGCACAAAGCAGCGTCACAGCCAGAGGGTGGCGTGTGTCCGGGGAAGCAGGGGCACCCTGGGGGAGGTGGTGGCCTTCATTCTGCTTGACTAGGTCAAAAGTGGTTTGAACATCCTCACTGTGTTTGACGATGTGGTCATGTGACTCTTTCTACTGTTCTAAAGTGAATGTCCCCAAGTCCGTAAGTGGCACATAATGTTTCACAGAGAATTGAAGCTTTTATCAGGGAACAAATGGCCCAAATTGGTATGTTTGTGAACATATTTCGTCTACACAATCCCTGAAATAGAAGAGGCCTTTGGAGGTGCTGGGGGAGGAGGGCAGTGCTGGAGGAGGGCACCTCAGACAATTCACTGTGTAAGCACGAGTCTCTGCAGCAGGGTCCCTGCATGGCAATTACCCTTAGACTGAGCAAATCCAGAGATTAGTCTGGAGTCTCTTTTGTGCACAAAATGGGCATATCTTGTCCACGCCTAAGCCCTTTCCTGAAAATGGGTTTCTAATATTGTGTCTAAATTCCTTGTTCACTGAACCTACAAGGAACTTATGGAGCAATGGAATTAAAGGATTAAACCTCAGCCACTTGTGCTAAATCTTTAAATGCCTCATGGAGCAGTTTACATAGCAACCCAGTCCACAGTCAGGGTTGCACGACTCATTTGCTTTTGGAGAGTCTTAGAGACTCAGGTGTTAGGAGAATATTTTCTTAACTGTTTTCCTACTGTAGCAACAGGCCCAGTGGCATTATAATTCCGCCTGGTGCACACCATTACGTTTTCACATGTGGTTGCAAACATTTATGTTGTATATAGGTTTCATCTTATATATTACCAGGTGACCTCATGTGATTTGGGCCTGGAGATTAGTTCCCCTTTAGATATCGTGGGCAGTTTCTTGGGTAATCTCATCTCACAGTTTGTTAGAGCTAGATAGCACTCTTAGAAATATATACCAGTGAAGGGAGAGAGAGAGAGAGAGAGAGAGAGAGAGAGAAACGTCATTGCAAGAGAGATACATTAATCAGTTGCCTCCCATAGGTGTCCTGACTTGGAATTGAACCCGAAACCTAGCTATGTGCCCTGGCCAGAAATCGAATCCACAACCCTTTTGGTGTACAGGATGATGCTCCAACTAATCGAGCCACCCGACCAGAAAAACCAGCATATTTTTATAGATGAGGAAAATGAGGTCAAGAAAGTTAATAATGATTAGGAATGGCTAACACTTCTTGAGTACTCTCTGCTTGCTGCAGACAAGTGCTTTTCAGGCACTACTTCTTTCGTTCCCCACAGCAGGCCTGTGAAGTCCATACTAATATTTTCCTTAATATGCATGTGCTTTTGTACCATACCCTTGCCCCTCTCTTTTGCGGGAGCACATTTGCCCAGCATTTCTCCTTTCTCTCTCTTACGTCAATTATTTGCTGCCTCTTAGATCATGCCCATCAGAAAGTAAACATGGTGTTAGTTTTCCTTTTAAAAGACAAAACCAAAACAAAACAATAACAGCAAAGCCTTCTTCTGACTCCACTACCCTTACCAGCTACCATCTTATTTCTTATTCCTTTTTGCAGAAAAACACCTTGAGATAGCTCAACCAATTCCTCTCATCCCGTTTCTTCTTAAATTGGTGTTTGCCCCCACTACTCTGCCCGGTGCTTCTGTGCAAGTCACCAATCATCTTCATGCTACTAAATCCACTGGCCAATTTTCAGTCCTCATCTTGTCTGACACTACCAGCAGCTTTGGACAAAATAACTTCCTTCTCCCTGAAACACTGTTTTCCCCGAACCTACACCTGATTTTCCTCTGATTTCATTGCCCCCCACTCTCCTGTAGCTCCTTCCTGCTCACACTGGAGTGCCCCAGGCTCAGGCTTCCCCCTCTAGTATTCTATCCACATCCACGTCTTTGTGGATCTCATCCGGACTCATGGCTTTAAATAGCATGTAGACTTCATGTCTTCTGTTGGCCGTTCTAGATTCACTCTCCATCCCGCTCTCTTGGAGACACAGCAGCGTGCTCCCTTGACCTTTAATTTTCATCGGGGTTTGGCCCATGGAAGGCACTGGCAAAAGATAGAGGGTAGAGGGAAAGCTGGGCACCTGCCAGGTGCCCACAGATGGGCTGCAGCCCCCTGTTGAAGGCCATGTCTGTTTTCAGGGCATCCTGCCTGCACAGCCACCCTCTACAGGACCGATGGGTGTTCACTCCACTTGCCTTTCACAGCAGGGATGTTAACAACTTTGCAATATTTCACTAGTCCTTGTTGTGCTCCCTAAATCCTACTCAACCCTTGTAAACATTTCTCTTCTCAGTTACTCGGTATGAATATGCCTTCTCTTTCCTGCCAGGACCTTGACTGATACATGGTCTATGTTCTGACACTTGCAAGTTCAGACCTTTCTTGAACACCAGACCCTTACATCCATCTTTATTATATCCAAAACTCAACTCTGCATTTTGTTTCCAAGCCAATTCTACCTGCAGCCTTCACCATCCTATTAATGACAACTTCAGCTGTCCAACTTCTCAGACTAAACACCTTGAGTCATCCATGACTCCTTTTTCCCCGAAATATCTCATTTAGGACATTAGGACATTCTGTAGGCTCTTCTTCTAGGTATACAGGGTGGGACCAAAGTATGTTTACAGTTATTCATATAGAAAATAATATAATAATATGTAATAATACAAAACTAAACTCTGTTTCATGTACTCACAACTGTAAACCCACTTCACCCAGCCCCCTCTTATTATAACCCTACCAATTCTCACCACCTCTGCTCCTATCACCTTGTCCCAAGCCACCAGCATTTCTTCTTC